AAACAGAAATTTACTCATATTTTAATTTTTTTTTAATTTTTTTCAACTATGTGATAAATAATGATCTGAAAAACTTACCTAATAAAATTATTTTCAATTTGATATAAATAAATAGTCAAGCGCTAGATAATTCAAAATAAGCGGAGTTAATTTATTAAAAGTACATTATGATTGTTTGCAAACATGGACGATACCATAGGAGTACCTATCTCTCGTTTTACCTTACTAATGAACATTTGCAAGCTTTTTCCAAGTATATTCACGAAAAAAACTGCTGCGCGTTATGAAAAAAAAATTTCTTGGTCTGCAACAAATAACACTGCATATATATTTTGAAAAAATTATCATGTCCACAGTAAAAAACTGCTGCATTGTTAAAAATATTACTATGTTTGCGGTAAATACCCTAGCATGTCTTTTTTACTTCGTCCACAGTAAAATCATGTATATACAATTGTCTTCTCTTATGATATGACATATATGTTCATGAAAATATTAATTTTTTTAAAAGCTAATGGTAATTACTGCCACGTACAGTATAAATTACTAGGTCTTCTCTGGTGAAACACCTAGGTGCATTTAATAGTTTAAGTTTTAAGAAGGAAGTGAAGAAAGAAAATTTGAATTTTTTTATAGCATTTACAAATTTTAAAGATTTATATTTTTCATAAAGTTTTTATGAAGTTTGTTATAATTTATTGTTTTAATGTTACAAGTGAGCGATGTACATACGTTCCGAGCAAGAATTTTGTTGTTGTCGTTGCCCCTTCTGGGAGGCCCTTAGGATTCCAATCGAGGTCGGAGCCAATTTGCCACTGCAACAGGGTTGCTCCAGAGGTCTATTGGTTGAAGATCCGTGGCGTTTTGAGGACAGCTAAACAAATGTTGAACATCATCTGTATGATTGTTGCAGAAAGGACAGGTGTTGATGTGAACCCTCCCCTCTTCTGAGCAAGAATTGCAAGCACTGGCGGATTTAAGGAGGCCATGGTTTTCTCTTTATCAACAGTCAACAAACCTTTGTTTTAACTTTTTGAAAATTTGGCCACATATATTGCATGATTATTTTTATGCATTAAAACAGTTTTTTAAACATGAAAAAATAAATACCATTTTAAATAAAAAAAATTGACACAAATTTGTACGATAAGCTAAAAATCTTTGCCATGAATTCCCCGTTTTTAGCTCCTCCCATCAAGCTTTAGCCTTCCAATCAAAGTTGCTTAGATCTGCCGATGAATAAAAGTGAGTATAGTCTGCCTAAGAATGCAACATTGTTCTTAAAAACATTGAAGTGGTTTGTAACACGTTGGTTTAATTGTCTTGTAAAATTTTTGTTCAACAGGCCAAAATTTTGTCGTTGATGTTTTTGAAAATTTGACTATCAATTTATTGATGTTTTGCAGATATGAATATATTGTTTGCATACATATTCAACAATATGATTAATAGCATAGACAAACATTTACTGTCATTTGCAATTTTTGAACAGTTCAACCATCCCACTACTGATTTCCATCTGTGATCCAATGCTGTTGATAATTAATTTTTGAGAATGAAGCTTTATCCTTTTATTATATATACACACTTCCTAGTGTGTTTGTTTTTTTTAAATTTACATAATTTTTCTGTCTAAAATAAGTTTTTTTCTTAGAATGTTGGTTGCATATTATAATTATTGTTGTAACTTCTGCAATCATCACAACCGCTTCAAACACAGACTTGTTGAAATGTTTGTTTGAAAGCCAACAGCATTTGAATCAACGAATTATTTGCTTTTTTGCTGAATACAACATTATTTACTGTTTTTAATGTGGTCTACTGTAAAAATTTATGCTTATGCACGTAAAAGTTTGTTAGTTTTGAATTTAGATTCACAAATGCAGCTAATGTTGAATTGTTTTCCCTTGATCCATTATGTAATTTGGATTGTTAAATAATATTTTATAATGTTTTATTTTGCATAATGTTTTGTAGTTGTATTATAAGATGGTAAGGAGTGTGTCTAGGTCTGGTAGTAAAGAATATGTCTTTGTCTGTTGAGAGCATTTTTCATTGAAATTCCTTTGACTGAGTTTTTTGAATTGTATCTACGTACTAAATTAATTATTTGTAGATGAGTTGGTAGCAAATTATTATATCAAAACAGGCATAAAATTTGATTTTTTTTCTTTGGAATTATATATTTATTTGGCTGGGTTATTATTTTTTTTATGATAATTCAGCAAGTCAAATGTCTTAAAGATGCCAAGACATGCTGACTAGCTGATAAGTATGTTAAGTAGACTCACAGACATCATCTTTAAGATTCATTTACGATTAATTTTTTAAGTAAAATTAAGTTATTTTGTACTTCCAAGGCGATTTTGAACTGTTGAAAATACCAGGCCACACTAAAAATGTACTATCTAAACTAAAGACGAAAAGAAATCGTATAAAGGTTTTGTATTCGTGTCTTTTAAAACCTTTTTTTATCTTTTAATAAATTTGAAATGCTTGCAGATATCTCAACCACGATATAAATTTATGAATGCTAACAAGGATTGGTTTCTGACTTGGCCATTTCCAAAGTCATTTGCTTGGTCATATACTCCCCTTCCCGTTCGGATGGGCTATATTAAAGTAACCATGTTTTGAAATGTTAAAACTAACTTTTTGGTAATTTTGTTAGAATACTTTTGAAACTGGCTATATTATATATTTATTAATATTAGCAACTATTTCCATTTTTCATTTATTTTTTCAACAGTTGAAACACTAAAGATAAAAATAATGTTTTAGTTATATGAACTTAGCTGTTGCAAGGGAGAAATGCGAAACCCATAAAAATGTGATAATACAAAAGTAACTGCGTTTTTTTTACAATTGATTAGCTTAACATTTGAGTGAAGAGCAAGCAAGTTTCAGAAAGAACAATCTAGAAGTGGCGCAACTAGACCAAACTTTCAGGCGGGCAAATAAAATACTTAAGTAGCATCATAAGACACAGCAAGCACTCGTTCGAAAACAAGACAAGTTAATTTTCCATACCAAGTATTATTTTGAACAATAGTAGATTTTCAGCTTTCACAAAAATGTTGTGAAAGTCATTATTGTCATTTTGTCGATAATTGTTTAAAATTAGCGCCATGTCAGAAACTTGTTCAATATACTGAAGAATATCTATATACGGATTTTGAAGAGCTTATGAAATAGGTAAAATTAGCGTACTGAAACGAGCACATATACACAATAATATTACAAATTTTGATTGATTAATAGCGTTCAAAAGCTGTTCTGCTTTACTAGCAGCATTTGCATCATTCCAATTACTAATTTTTGTCAGTGTGACTTTGATTGTCGGATATAGTTCAACAAATTTTATTGTGGCTTTGTGACAACGTTCCACCCATCGCGTGTCACATAATCCTGTTAGTTTCTGATGATTACTACTAGACTCTGAAGAACATTCAAGATTTCTTTAAAAAACGTGAGCTTTTAACGTGAGCTTTTTTTGAGCTTTCTTTAAATAAAGTTAATTGTCTGCTTGATTGTGATTGTACTTATACTTAAGGTTTAAGATAACACAACTCAATTATTGTAACCAAGAAACTCAAATTGAGGTGTGTGTACATGTCCGAGGTAGGACGTATATATATATATATATATATATATATATATATATATATATATATATATATATATATATATATATATATATATATATATCCAAACGTTACTACAACTTTGCTGTGATATCTGGAGAAATTGCTCAATGCTGAATGGATGGAACTATAGCATGACAGTCCCGCTATTCAAAGACAAAAGTGATCCATTGAACTGTTCATCATATCAATCTTCTCCTCTATCTTTCTCAGGGAATTTTTTTTTGTTATGGTTCGACAATAATTTTTGTGTATATTTTTATCGTGAGTTCGACCAGTCCTGTGTGGCACTGGGCTTTTTCGAATTATATGATTTTACCGAGTAACACACGAACGCGTAAAAATATTCGATAACAATTTTATTAATCGACGGAAGTAAATGAAGAGGAATTGAACTAAATGAACTCTATAATAATGTAAAATGTCAATGAACAAACTGGAATACAGGAATTAGAACTTCTTCTTGTTGGGTCTTGGACTCGGGATATGTTTGTTGCCGTTTAATCGTACAACCTCGACGTGTGTAACCGATAGTGATGTCGATACAACTCCAAGAAATAAATAAAATGAACGCGGAAAAATTACAAAAATCGGAGCCTATGGAAATTGCAAGCTGCGTGTGAAACTATACCAATGAGTATAGAATCCAGCAAAGAACCCTAGGTCGACAAATAGCACAAGAAACAAAAGAACGAGGCGGATTCGTTTTCACAGGATCCAAGGCCTGTTTTCACTGGGCCTGTCAGTCAAGTCTGATCGGCTTTCGAACGACCAAGGGCCTGTTTTCACTGGGCCTGTCTGTCAGTCGGTCGGCTTTCGCACAACCCTGGCCTGTTTTCACTGGGCCGTCAAGTCTGATCGGCTTTCGCACAACCCTGGCCTGTTTTCACTGGGCCGTCGAGTCTGGTCGGCTTTCGCACAACCAAGGGCCTGTTTTCACTGGGCCGTCGAGTCTGGTTGGCTTTCGCACAACCAACACAAAACAACAAGAGTCAGAACAACACTGGAAACAAATTGTGTGACTTTAGTACGCGTGCGAAACTATGCCAATGAGCATAGAGTCTCGTACCAAATCCACTTTTGAGAACTTAAGACGTTTCTGAAACTATGCCAATGAGCATAGAATCACGAATTAAGTCTCTTAGATACCAGAATAGGCACAGATTATTCGAAGCTGCCTAACTGGTGAACCCAAGGCGGACTCTTTTTGAGAACTTAAGACGTTTCTGAAACTATGCCAATGAGCATAGAATCACGAATTAAGTCTCTTAGGGACCAGAATTGGCACCGATTATTCGAAGCTGCCTAACTAGTCAACCCCCAGTCGGACTCTCTCCTACATTCTTCCTTATCAAAGCAAAATTAGATTTAGTTTCGGGTGTTTTTAAACATAAAAATTTCCAAGGTATGTCCAATTAATCAAAAAAACTACTAATTAAATTTTAAAATAATTTGTAATAATTTATGACGTCATCTAAATTGCAAAACAAAAAAAATCGTCGTCACCTATCGAGTAAATTAACTTGCACCATGCCCCTATCGAGTGAATAAATTTTGCGTTGAAAACTTTGAAGTATTTTTAGTAAGTATTATTTCATAATTCTGACACTATATATATATATATATATATATATATATATATATATATATATATATATATATATATATATATATACTATTATTAATAAAGATCACGGCGTTCCTTACAGTACCCAATCTATATTATAGTTTCTCGATTCTTCGAATAATTCTCCGATCTACTAAACTTAACTTGTTAATGCTATTAACAAAATTCCTATTTACAGAAGATGTCATTATCTACATGTATGCATATAGTACTATTTCCACTACCTAGTCTCGTCAGTGCAACATTAGAATAAATTTTACATTTTTAAAGTTTTTAAAATTTCAAAATTTTTAAAGTTTTAAAATTACTAAATTATATATCGTATATATATCGTTTTTACTAAGAATTTAAAATTAACACTTTTATAATTTAAAACAGAACATGAGTTATTGTAGGAACAAATGAAATAAATTGTATAGCGCTTGACATTTAAAAATTCAAAAAGCGCAATATTTTGTATATATAATTAAAATAAATTATATAATTTTATATAATTATTTTATAGTGTTTGCAATTTTGTCATAATAATTTCGTACAGCAAAAATTTAGAATTTTGATTTCTTGGGGGGGGGGGCAATTGCCCCCATGCCTCCCCCCCAAATGACGCCTCTGCCTTCGGCAACTGCAAGAAAAGTACCTCGCAAAGCATCAACAACTATCACACATTTTTGTAGACCTTGAAAAAGCATTTGATCGAGTTCCCGTGAAGCAATCAGGTGGAGTCTACGTCGACAACTCATTCAGAATATCTTGTTCGACTTGTGATGGAAATGTATACGAATACTAAGACTCTTGTCAGCACAACGGTTGGAAACACAGATGCATTTGACATTGGCGTTGGAGTTCACCAAGGCTCGATTCCCAGTCCACTGTTATTTATAACTGTGATGGAAGAAATCACAAAACCGATACGCACTGGTGACATTTGGAATCTAGTATATGCTGATGATATCGTTTTAACAGCCACGTCTGAGCAGAATGCAGCACAGATGTTTGAAGATTGGAACACCAGACACGCCGATCATGGATTCAAAGTCAACATCAGCAAAACCAAAGCAATTAACACTGGTGAACCCATCCAATCCACAGCTACTTGACGATGGCCCTGTTCAGTTTGTTAAGCTGGTGTAGGTAACAATTCAATCAAGTGTCAGCAGTGTAACCAGTAGTGTCACAAATGTTGTTCAAAAATAATTGGTACTTTATCTAAAGTGTCCAATTTTGCTTGTCCTGCTTGCATCAATCCACAACAACAAATTCGAAATAGCACTGTTTTTGAAGCCATTAAAATAGAGAAAGTCACATCGTTTCAATATCTAGGGGATGTTCTGGATTGTACTGGAACAGCTGAAGCTGCCGTTCGAGCACGCATACGTGCAGCCTGGAATAAATAGCATCTCCTTACCTCTATATTGCTGCGGCGTGACATCCCACTACCACTACGATCAAGACTTTATAAATCTGTGATACGTCCGGTCTTGTTATATGGTGCAGAAACATGGCCAATGACAACCAAACTGGAACAATCAACTTCAACGAACCGACATGAAAATGCTCTGAATTAGTCTGAAGGACCACATCAAATCTACCGAAATCCTGCGTCGTGCTGTTTTAGATGATATAAAGGACGAATGCCGGCAACACCGTCTGCGGTGGTTTGGTCATGTCAAACGAAGTGGAAACATTGCCATAACTTCTCTTGCGGATGTTGAAGTACCTGGCACGCGTCCCAAAGGCCGTCCAAAGAAGTCCTGGTCGCAAACAATCGAGCGGGACATGAGAGCTCTAAATTTGAATGAAATGGATACAACTGATCGTCCAATTTGGCGCAAAAAGTTGATGGCAAAGAAAGCAACGTCCTACCTCGGGAAACTGGGTCTGGACGCAAAACGAAGATTGATTTATTGAATTTTGTATATTTTTAGAAATATTATTTTTCCGTCTACTTAAAGCATATTTTGTGCATTCTATTATGCTATGTATGGTGATTGTCGTTCTACATTGGTTGCATATAGGATCTGTTATTTTGCAGTGTCCATGCCATGAATGGGTCAATCTAGTATGACCCATTTGTATTCTATTGTAGCGTCTATCCAAATTTATGGTGTTTTTGTTTGTTTTTTTTTAAACATAGATAATTTGAAAAAAGCTTCTTGCCATCGATTTATAATGTTTTGTTGGACTATGGTACTGAGGTCGGTGTATGAAATAAGTATTTGTGAAACTGGCAGTAAATGTGCCCTTGTGGCAGTTCCATCTGCGTTCTCGTTTCTTAGAATTCTTAGGTTAATCGTAACAAGCTTTGGCATCCAAGTAATCTCGATTAAACATACTTCTTACTTTTTTAGCCCGTCGACAACCATTCTGTTGCTCGTTTCGGACGTACTGGTTTCTCAAGCCATTAACATTTTAATAAAAAACGATTAATTACTATTGTGTAAGACAAAACGTAGAGATAATATATGTAAATTCATATTTTTTCCACTTGAACCCTTATTTAAAAATATTTAATGAAATTTATTATTTCTGTTACTAAAACAAAATTTTCTATTGTTTCCCTGGTAACTGCTAAACATGACATGATATTTAAAATTTTTTTTAATCAATATTTCTTCGCATATACTTTTTTAGATCTTAATGTGCAAACAAAATCATCCTCACTTATTTTTTTATCTTTATCTTCTTTCGCTTGCTGATTTTTTTCTTTTTCATGTTTTTTATTTTTATTTCCCATTGAAAATATGCGCATGCTTCAGAGGTTTCAACAACAAACACACATAGCGTAGGTATATGAATACGCGTGAAAACCACGCATCATACACATTGCATATGATAGGCGGAGATCTCTATGTATTCGAACCCAGTCACTGCAGCAACAAGACCAGGCGCTTTTGACCATTCAGCCATCACGCCGCACATAGTGTTTCAATTTATATTTTATATAAAAATATTTTGAATGAGCATCACTCAACATATCATGATATTTTTAATTTGCTTTGCTTGTTTTTGAAAATTTAGAAATCAGAGAACAATGGAATAATACCTTCGAAGTATGGAAATGCTGAATTAATGAAAATACCCAATTTTTTGCATTTGACTCCAAACCATATCAAGCTACAATGCGAATCCATTAAAAGTAAATGATATATATATATATATATATATATATATATATATATATATATATATATATATATATATATATGAGACCATATTTTATATAGTATTTATGAATTCTACCGAATTGTTAGCTTTAATCAATTTTAAGTTTGTCTTTTCAATTTTCCCTACTAGAATTAATTTTCTGGATATTCTTCAATTTGTTGAAAATGTAATTTTTCAAGTTTATCGTGAAAATTTAATGAAACTGTTGTTATCCGAATTCATGCAGATAAGGCCTTATTTCGGTTTTTTCATGAATCATCTTCAGTGCATGTTGGTTTGTAAAGTTTCTTTAAACAATGCAAAGTTCGCTAGCAAAGTTTATTAGTTGGTATCGCATTATTCATCTTTGTTGTTGTCATTCCTTTGTTCTTCATTGTTATTGAAGTTAGTATTAAAGCGTCGAGTTGGTAATGATGTTATCATTCTTTGTTGGATGTTTATTTGGGGTTTATTGATTGATATCTATTAGGACAGCTTCTGCAATTTTTAGATGTTTTGTGTTGGTGTTTTGATAAATTATTTTTATGTTGTTGTTGAGAATTTGGCGGGTTATTGGAGATGCATGTGTTGATTGCAAGTGAGATTTGATGGCTCCTCTTTGTGTATGCATTGTAAGACGTCTTAATAGTAAAGTGGTCGTAACATCAATATATGAATGTTGTTGACGCGCATAGTCGTCAATAGGGCATTTAAATTCATATATTACACTATTACACTTCAAGGTAGAATCGTCTTTAGGAATGCAGTTGTTCTTTAAAACCAATTGTGATGTTTTACAATTATTGTAGTATATCCTGAGTTTTATTTTATTAGTATCATTAATTGATGTAACATTTCTTTTTATGATTTGTTTGAAGACGACTTCTTCTATTTTATGTGCCATTGACATATGATTTCTGTAATATAGGATTGTGTCGTCATTGTTGTTTTTAAATATATTGCTATCTTGTTGTAGTCTTTGTTGAATGGTGCTTTCAATGGATGATGTTTTGTAACCATTGCTTACTAGTAGATTAGTAATTCTTTTCAGTTCCGTATTGCGATCTTCAGTTGAGGATGAATGGATTCACAAAGGATTTTATTGTACTTACTTTAAATTGTTCCGTACATTCACTTAACCCATTTAAACAAATACCTTTATTTGCTCGTCATGGGTTACCAAATTATCCAGAAATGGCAATAAATTTTCACTTTCGTGCTCGATGGTGAAATTCAATTTTGATTGATCCAGAGTTGACTTGTTCCGGTTCATTGTATACGACGAAGATATAGTCAACATATCTGGCATAAATGTTTGTTTTTAATTCCGAATTGTCACTAAACCTTTTGCTCTCAAGATATCTTTAAAGAAATTTGCGAACGAGACACCTGCTGGTGAGCGCATGGCTACACCGTCAATTTGCTTGTTTATCTTGCCTGTGGGAGTGTGGAAAGATGCTTCGGTGGTGCAGATTTGGAAAAGAGATTTGAGATGTGTTTTTGGTGTTTTTAAGGGACCGTGTCTGAGTAATTAACACTTTTGATGATAATATCAATTGTGTCGTGGACGGGAACATTTGTAAACAAAGATTCGACATCCAGAGACGCAATATGATTTGATGGTTTGTTAGCGTTCAATAGATTGATAAACTCCCGTGAGGACTGTATTTTATCATCAAGTCGATGCCAAAGATGCATTCATCGATAATGTCTGCCACCAGGAACGTGCCCTCAAACTTCAGGTCCATTTCTACCGTGCAAGATACTTCTCCGTACATAGGCGCCATTCCTCCAGTGGCAGTAAGAAATAGGTGCTTGCTAGATTTTTCTTGCTTCAGATCCATTGCCACATCTCGTCTAAGAATAGACCTAGTTGCTCCCTCCTGTACCTTTATAATCGGGCGTTCACGTAAATCTCTTTTCTTCTACCCAAAGATTACCTCGGTCACTATGCAGCCTTGAGACATAAATCATACTGCCGGAGGCGTTTGTTTTCTCAGCCAACTTGGGCCCCGCAAAATTGGCTTTCACTCGTTTTCCGACGTGTTAGCTGCAGACGTTCCAAGCGTGGGGCTGACATCTCTTCGAGAGTCGGTTTTTTTCAGCGCCGTTCCCTCGATGGACGTTACTTCTTTGAGGCCTCTTACAATATGCCCCATTTTTTAACAGTTTTAGGATCCTGGTGATTTGTAGTCTCCTGTTGTTGGGACAATCTTTCGACAATCACTTCATAATTCTGGATTCCAATGTCCAGAATTTTTCTGAGTGTTTTTATTTTTGAGATTTTGATTTTATATCTGGGTCTCGTAAGGCTTGAATAAACATTTTTGTTGCCGTTCTGTCTCTGAATTCCGGAGCACCTGTTGGGTGCGGCAGCAGGGTCAGCCTCTCTTCATCTCTTGCTGGTGTCTCCGTTCTACTCCGTTTGTCGACTCTCGTTTAGTTCGTCTGATTCTGTCTATTTTCTGGCTTAACTCGTCAACTTGTTTGTTCATTTTATCTATTCGTTTTTTAAATTTCGCTTCAAAGTCCTTTATTTTGACTAAAATTTTGGTTGCTTGTTTGGTGGCTTGTAGTTTCAGTTCGGTTGACTTTTCGGCTTTATGTTGATCAAATTTTCTATTCATATCGGCTGTCTGTTGATCGAATTTTTATTCATATTGGCTGTCTGTTGATCGAATTTTTTATTTAATTCTTCTATATGATCCGGAAATTCAAATTCATCGGGTTCGTTGCATTCGTTTGTTTGAGCGTCTCTTAGGCGGTTCATCAAAACTGCCTTTGCTCCTTTCAAGTCGAGGTTTCGTTTTTGTAGTTCCCTCCTCAGATTAGTGGCGTTGAGTTCTTCCAGTATTGACATTCTTTATTGCAGGTAAATTCAATCTATCAATGATCCCACTTCTGACACCAATGTTATAAACTTAACGTTCATTCTGGTTGTTATAACGATATTAACCGGCATTGTGTTTGGCCTGTTAAGTTTGACTTTGTTCAAGGACGTGTGTTTTGAAGTATTTATAAATCTAGAAAGATTGAAATAAAACCAAATGAACAAATTTTTATTATTTATTTTTAAACTTTTTCATGATTATTTTTCAGAGGTATCAATAATAACAAAAGTATATAAAACACATGAATACACATTATACACTGCTTATGATAGGCGAGAATCTTTTTGCTTTTGAACCCCGTCACTACAATGCAGAACCAGACTCTTTAACCATAACACCCTTTACATTTATAAATAATAAATAATTTAATAAATGGTGAATTTTGTCTAAATGTTTGGATCACATTTTTTAAAAATATGTATATATTGCTTGATTTCGTAATTCAATTTATACTTTAATATATATACACTTTATATTATAAAATGCCACTTTAAAAATGAAATATTTTTAAATGTTTAATATTTTTACGAAATGATATTTTTATGAAAAGCATTTATTAAGTGCCACTTGTTAAAAAACTAGGATTTTGTACACCGTGGCCTAAGGGACTGGAAAAAGATGATATCTGCAGAAAATTCTTTCCTTTAAGCATAACTGTCTCTGATTATTTAATAGATGGACCATTGTCACTAAATGAACATTCAAGAAATGTGCTCATGAAGGTTTTTTTTATTGATTTCATAATGTTCATTATTATTAATTTATTTAACCGAAGGAACCAAACCATGCCGAAGGAGGATCATATTTAATGCAATATAGAATGATTTTTAACACTATGTATGATTTCTAACACTAAGTAAACAAAGATGCAAAATAGAAATAGGCCTATTTGCATAATGAATTTTAATAATTTTTTTAAATTTTAATAAATTGGACAATTTCATGAAACTTTTAGTAAAACAAATTGCAATGACAAACTTTAGATTGGTCAATGCCAACAATCTGGTAAAATTCAAACAATGTTGTATGCTTTACAAATAGGTATTGTGTATAATTTTGGTCATTTACTAAAATAATCCGCTGCCACCAGAATGTAACGATTGTTAAGGATTTCAGCTGTTATAGCTCTGGGTATCACCGCTTGCATCAATTTTTTAATCCATCGGCTGACTCCCATCTTTTTTAAGGAGCTCTTCGTCTGCGTGCAAAGAATCCAATTGAGTCTAATAGCTTTTTAATACCGTGTTTTATTTTGACACTTTCCTAACAATTCGATCTTTGCTCTGCTTTTTCCCAATTGATGAGGTGCTATAGATCTTCGTCGACAGATTGTGTTCAACCGTCGTCTACCCAATGTACGCTTTTACTTGGATTATTTATGCTCTGACTGTTTTTTCCTTCTAACCGACAGCGTATTTGCATCTTATTGGGCAAGAATGAACAGTTCTCTTGTGATGCATAATTTTAAAATTTTACATTTGGATGTATAATCAAAGTCTAATGATGACCATAAAATTTTTCGTGAGAAGAACAATTCAATCAAGTGTCAGCAGTGTAACCAGTGGTGTCACAAACGTTGTTCAAAAATAATTGGTACTTTTTTCTAAAGTGTCCAATTTTGCTTGTCCTGCTTGCACCGATCCACAACAACAAATTTGAAATAGCAATGTTTTTGAAGCCATTAAGGTAGAGAAAGTCACATCGTTTCAATATCTAGGGGATGTTCTGGATTGTACTGGTACAGCTGAAGCTGCCGTTCGAGCACGCATACGTGCAGCCTGGAATAAATGGCATCTCCTTGCCTCTATATTGCTGCGGCGTGACATCCCACTACGATCAAGACTTTATAAATCTGTGATACGTCCGGTGTTGTTTTATGGTGCAAAAACATGGCCAATGACAACCAAACTGGAACAACAACTTCACCGAACCGATATGAAAATGCTCCGATGGATGCAACGAATTAGTCTGAAGGACACATCAAATCTACCGAAATCCTGCGTCGTGCTGGTTTAGATGATATAAAGGACGAATGCCGGCAACACCGTCTGAGGTGGTTTCGGTCATGTCAAACGAAGTGGAAACAGTGCCATAACTTCTCTTGCAGATGTTGAAGTACCTGGCACACGTCCCAAAGGCCATCCATTGAAGTCCCGGTCGCAAACAATCGAGCAAGACATGAAAGCTCTAAATTTAAATGAAATGGATACAACTGATCGTCTAATTTGGCGCAAAAAGTTGATGGCAAAGAAAACAACGTCCTACCTCGGGAAACTGGGTCTCTGGACGCTAAACGAAGATTGATTGATTGATTGATTGTCAAAAGCCCGATCCTATCGTAGTAGCTGTCTTCCAACGGTCTTTAAGCTGTCTTTAAGTCGAGTTTAGAGACCCCAATAGTGTGTTCAGAATTTCACCAATTCTTGATAATGGGTAGCTATCCTTTTTGGTCATTTTATCCAACTTCTTAAAGTCCACTCCACACGAAACCGGCTGCTAATGTCTTTTTTTATCAGCACAACCGGCGGAGTCCAAGGGCTTGCAGAGGGTTTAACTATTCCTTTTTTTGCATGTCGGTAATCATCCCATTTACCTCTGTTGATATCTGAAATGGCTTAGAGTCTTGCGTGCCGATGAGTTACCATACTGAATTTTTCGAAAGTCTTCATGTCGTAGATGCTATCAATTTTACATGCATTTTGTAAATCTTTAAGGCGCTCTCTTTCCGTTGACCGTATGACTACTTTTCTGTTTCAAGTCCTGTGTTTTTATTGTGTTTCTGGGTTGACATCTTCCTATTAATATTAATGAATTATTTGTTGTGTTTAATATACGGACTGAAAAGTTGCCGTTCTCGTTTGTTTATAAGAGGCATTGTTAGACAAGTAAATTTGGATTGTTAATTGGTTCAACAAAACATATCTACCAATCTCCTGGATCGCAGTTTAATTTAGCTTATATAATGTTTTCTAATGATTTCGGTATAGCTCTATCACCGTCAATTTTTACCTGCAAACACTTTTTTCGTCATTTCCAGTATTAGTTCCAAATGGAAACCGAACCTAAACCGAAAAAACCGCAAATTTCGGTTGGAAAAAATCCAGTGCTGGTCCGAAAAAATTTTTTTGTTAATTTCGTTTGATTAAATTTGAACCACCAAGTCAATTGAAAATATTTTTTAAAATGGGCGCCTTGTTAAATTTTCAATATTTTACAGCATGTCCAATATTTCCATTTTTTGTTTAATTGTCATGTGTTTTAAAATATTTTTGCGGTATTCATTCCTGATAGATTACGCTTGGATTGAAGAATTGATATAAAAAAGTTTCAAAAGCTATGATTCTAGTGCATTTACAATATTTCAATTGAGTGTGCTCAATTTTGAAGTTGTTTTGGCACCGGTTTCTACCTAACATCTTCTTTCTCGTGCCATATCCTTTCAGGACATTGGCGACCATCGACCTCTACAAAACCCGATCTTTAACACTTATTAAGAGTTGAAATATGGTGATATTCAATAAGTGACACAAGGACTTCACGAATGTTATTCGTTGTTGACCGCGATCTCTTTCCCATGCAATCTTTTCAGTAGTTGTTAGATTTTCCATTCTTTCCTTCCGCATGATGTGACCAAAAAACATCATTAACTACCTCTGTCGCATTATCTGTAATAATTTCCTCTTTTCATAACCGGACTGCTTTAATACATCCTCATTCGAAGTATGAGAGGTCCAACTAATTTTTATAATTCTTCTCAAAAACCACATCTCAGCAGCGATATTTTTTTTTCCATTTTTTAGAAATTGTCCAGAACTCAGAGCCATAAGTAAGCACAGTTTTAATTTTTTTGATATTCTGATTTTACTGTTGGTGAGGATGTTTTTCATTTTAGAATATGCATCTTTCGCTATAGCTATCCTTTTTTTGATTTCCACACCACATTTACAACTTGAGGTAATTAGAATTTCGAGATAATTGAAGCTGTTGACTTGTTTCACCTTTAATGATTATGGAGCAGATCGGGGAGGTTTTGCTTTTACTGATAACCATGCGCTCTATTTTGTTGATGCTTAATTGCATGCCTTTCTTTTCACTTTCAAAAACCAGTTTGGAAACAATTGTTTGCAGTTTTTCCATTGAATCTGCTATAAGAGCTGTATCATCAGCATATTTTACACTATAGTATTCACGTCTCCAATGGATATTCCAGGTAGATCTTTCATTTTTCTCATAATGATCTCACTTAGAGATTGTACAGGTCTGGAGCGAATACACAGCCTTGCCTAACGCCTTTCTTTATTTCGACAACTAGTCATTTTGTTACCAACTTTTATGACTGCTCAATTTTCCCAACAGAGGTTTTTGGTAACTTATAAACAGGTCTTTCTTCATTTCAATCGCTCGTTCACTGATCATTCGTAGCATAAAGATAAAGATAGCGTTTCTTGTGTCACAATCCTCTACAAAATCACATTTGACATTGATCTCATCATTATGTGATAGACTGTCAAAATTCAAACGTTTTGAGGCCACTTTTCTCCTAATTTTCTTCAACTTTATCATGATTTTACAAACAACTGAGTTACGATCACTGCCACAATCAGCTCCAGTGTAACTTTTGCATTGTTAAACAGCATTTCGAAATCGTCTATTTATTGTAATGTAATCAATCATATTTCTTACTTTGTCTCCGGGACTTTTCCAAGTATATTTTCTCCTTCGGTGATTGCCAAACCAGGTGTTGGTAATAATTTGATCATTTGTGACACCATTCAATCAACTTTTCATTCATTTTTTCACCTACCGCATGAGGGCCAACCACGTCATGTATCCTTTCTGAGCCAACTTTTGCATTCAAGTCACCCATCATAATAACAATTCCTTGAGATTTACATGTTTTTAAAGCATCATCAAGATCACTGTAAAAAGCATCAAGATCTTCTTCAGTGCTTTCAGACGTTGGCGCATAAACTTGAATAACAGCTAGGTTGAAAGGTTTTGCGTGTATTTTGACCAACAAAATTATCTGACACCGCCTAGAAACTTTCTAATTTTTTTAGACATTTCTTTATTCAATAGTACACCTACTCCTCGTTCGTGTGAATCATCTCCAGATTATATAAATTTGCCTTCTTCAAAGGTGTAATGACATCTGATTTCTCTTAACGAGTTTCGCTCAAACCTAGAAGGCTGAGATTCATTCTTTTCATTTCTTGCTTTACGTTTTCAAATTTTCCAGTCTAGCACAACGTTCTAACGTTCCATGTCGCCACAGTAAAAGGTGTATTCAACTTGTCATTATCTTGTTTTTTGATTTGGTTTGTGCTTGTCGATGGTTTTCTTGGCAAAAGTTGTGGACAGTAAGTTGCCATTATTTGCTGTCTACTTTTTTAATTCTATATGAGATGGGTCATGACAAATACAATTATATAAGATAAATAAATGAGTCAAACAAATAAATAAAAATGGATAACTCAATATATAGTATTTGAAGTTAATGTATAATTATTAAAATTAAAAATAAAATATTATACAAAGAGTTAAATATATTTTTTGTTTTTTATATATGTACATACATATTTTACAGTTTTTTTGGTTGTGATTTGGATTTGGATTTGCTTTTTAGTCTTGTAGTGGACGCTTACTTATTGAAAATTTTATTTCTTTTTTAATATTCACAAAAAATAACTTTTATTTTTTATTAATCAACATACATTACCCAATTGTTATTTATTGGCTATGTACTTTTATAAAACTTGAAAGCTGTTGTTATGTTACGTGCGTTAAAATTTAGAAAATAATTACTTCTAGAACTAAACCGGGATCGAAGCGAAATTGTTTTTTCGCAATCAAACCAAAACCTAAACGGAAAATATATCGGTTTGAGGCCCTGCTTCCTTATTTCTCCGTCTCTAAACACGTTACTCATAGTCAATGTTAAACCCATGTCTTGTTATGAAGTCTTATGATGCATTGGACCGTGATGTATATACCTTCGAATTTCAGATCTCCTATATATACAATACGAGAGATTTCTCCATGGGCGGGCGTGACTTCTCGGTAGCTGTTACAAGGCTATATTTATTGAAACTTTCACGTTCCAAGTGAGGTACTAGGTCGAGTCATACGATTGACTGCTACTGCGGTGTCGATAGTAATTATACCTGTGCATAAACTTTTTTTATATACTGCCAGAGATCGTTTTGGTTTCGATGCTGTCTCGACATATCAATTACTGTACAGTACTGCATCCACTAGCCAATCTCAGCCCGGTGAGATTGGCAATCTCAGTCCGGTGAGATTGGCTTTTACTCGTTTTCGATTACTTGTTTGAGAAGGTGGTTACTCTTTGTCTTTTCGTTTGGCTTCTAAGCTGAGATTTGGATACATATTGGTCATCGCCGTTTTGTATATTTAGCGCGTACAACATACTGCGAAGTAGAAACAGTGTTCGTTGGTGATGCTTCAACTACCATATATGAAACTGAAACCAAATCAATGAATCAATCTTCGTTTAGCGTCCAGAGACCCAGTTTCCCCAAGGTAGGACGTTGTTTTTTTTCCATCAATTTTTTTGCGCCAAATTAGACGATCAGCAGATTCAGCTGTTCCAGTACAATCCAGAACATCCCCTAGATATTGAAACGATGTGACTTTCTCTACCTTAATGGCTTCAAAAACATTGCTATTTCAAATTTGTTGTTGTGGATCGGTGCAAGCAGGACAAGCAAAATTGGAAACTTTAGATAAAGTACCAATTATTTTTGAACAACGTTTGTGACACCACTGGTTACACTACTGACACTTGATTGAATTGTTACCTACACTAGCTTTACAAACTGAACAGGGCCATCGTCAAGTAGCTGTGGATTGGATGGACTCACCAGTGTTCATTGCTTTGGTTTTGCTGATGTTGACTTTGAATCCATGATCGGCGAGTCTGGTGTTCCAATCTTCAAACAACTGTGCTGCATTCTGCTCAGACGTGGCTGTTAAAACGATATCATCAGCATATATTAGATTTCAAATGTCACCAGTGCGTATCGGTTTTGGGATTTCTTTCATCACAGTTATAAATAACAGTGGACTGAGAATCGAGCCTTGGTGAACTCCAACGCCGATGTCAAATGCTTCCGTGTTTCCAACCGTTGTGCTGACGAGAGTCTTGGTATTCCTATACATTTCCATCACAAGTCGAACAATATATTCTGGAATAAGTTGTCGACGTAGACTCCACCTGATTGCTTCACGGGGAACTCAATCAAATGCTTTTTCAAAGTCCACAAAAGTGTGTGATAGTGGTTGATGCTTTGCGAGGTACTTCTCTTGCAGTTGCCGAAGGATGTGAATTGCATCAATTGTTGATTTCCCCGCTAGGAAACCAAATTGATAATTTTCCGTTGTGATACATGACGGACGTTAATTTTCTCTCAATGATTTTTTCCACAATTTTCAGAGAGTGTTCTAACAGACGTATACCCCGATATAATGAACAGTTCAATGAATCACCTTTGTCTTTGTATAGCGGAATTGTCAACTATAGTTCCATTCAGTCGGCATTGAGCAATTTTTCCACACTTCACGGCAAAATTGTAGTAACGTTTTGATACCTGCAGTACCAGATGCTTTGATAATGTCATTTGTGAGTTCATTTCGTACGCTTTGCTTTTTTTGCTATAAGCTACAGAAATTTCATGTGTTCACCTTTGCTTTTAGAGAGCCACTTTCTGCACTGATCTGTCCGAGCCAGTGCGACTTGACGTCTTGCATAGTTGTTTTTCTTACGGGAAATTTTATTGTCATCAACAGACTTTGATTTTTGCCATTGCTTGTTTGCAGCTTTCTTTTCAGCTATTGCATTGTGTACACTGTCATTCCACCACCAAGTGTCCCGTTCATGCTGGCGTTTTGTACCAGTTTTCCCACAAACTGTAGTTGCAGCGTTAATCAAAACGGTTTCATATGTGCTCCAATCTGTACTTGCTTGCGATTGGTGGTCTAACTGTGTGGCGACAATCTTTTGAAATTTTTCTCGATGAATATTGCTTTTCAGCTTCCACGTTTTGAATCTCCGAGGCATTTGTTTAGATTTGTGTTGTGACAGTTCGACAACCAGGTCTGCCACAAGGAGTCTATGTTGGGCGACACATGATTCGCCAGGTATAACTTCGACATTTTTGAATAGCCTTTGGTGTTGTTGCTTGACAGCGAAGAAATCAATTTGCGTGGCTGATGGTCCACTTCTGTATGTTATGAAATGTTCCTACCTTTTTCTAAAATATATATTCAGTAAACAAAACTCGTGACTTTCAGCAAACTCAAGGATGCGGTTGCCATCTTTATTCCGTTCTCCATAGCCAAAACCGCCATGTATGTTGTCAAAACCATCTGTTTTCTCTCCAACGTGGCCATTCAGATCGCCTCCAATCAGGATTCTTTCAGATTTTGGTATTGTTGAGATGGTGTCAGAGAACGCAGCCCAGAAGTCATTTTTCATCTCTTCTCTTTCAACTGTCTGTGGTGCGTATGCAAAAAAAATAGTCATTGTTTGCTTTTCTAGGCGAAGCTTGATCCACATGAGACGTGAGTTAATCCTTTTAATATCCAACACTTTTTGGGCTAGCGGTTTTTTTGACAAAAATTCCAACGCCAATTTTGGCCGTCTTTTGACCATTCCAGAATAGTTTTTATTTTTTTTTGTCCGAGTTGATATGACAGACATCATTCGATTTCCATCGGGTCTCCTGAAGGCAGATGTCAATCCTTTTACGCTCGAGCATTTATGCGATTTCCATGCTGCAGCCAGTCAGTGATCCAACATTGAGCATTCCAAGTCTAAGTACCATAGAGGGGCCATTCTGAATTTTTCTGCAACATCCCTCCGCTATTGCTACTTCTCAGGGACTCTTAGCACCCTTTGATCTAGGGGCCGTTGTTTTTCTTTGTGATGGCATAGAATAATTTGGGGGAAAATTTTTACATCCGTACACCCATCCTGACGACAACCACCGGCTATAAGCGGTGGGCCTAGCCTTTTGCTCAAAAGCACGCAAGGCAGCATGGATGCAGTTTTATGTCATGCTCAAGACTTATGCCCAGAAACAGAAACCAAAACTCTTTATATTGTACCCTAAGCCCTAACAGCATGAAATGCGCTAATGAACCAATCCAGGGACTTGAGTAAAAACTTGTGGAAGATGGAATTTTTAATTTTTTATTTGAAACAATTTGATCAGTTTGTAAATATATTGTTTTTAATTTTTTATTTTTGATAATTTCTCCATCAAGTATGAACTTTTGAAATTGTGTAAAAAAAATCGCCGGAAAAATTAATCGTTTCAGTTCAGTCTGATGTTGATAGTGCTTTTCTATGTGACGAGCTAATAAGCTAATAATTATTAAAAATAAGATTATGCAAAATAAAAATGAATGAAAAATGGAAATGTTATTTATGTTTTAAAAAGATTAATTTTTTTTCTGAAATTTTTTTTAAGATTGTGTTTTTTTGAGGATAAATATATGTAACGATAAGAAATCATTTTTAATACTAAAAATAGATGCTAATAATGTGAATAAAATCAATTTTTCAGTATATTGTAAAACATAAAAATAAAGTATTTTTATTTAGTTGTGATAATAAGGTGAAATAATAACGCAAGAGTTTAAATTTTTTCATTATGTTTTAAAAAATAAAAAAAAAGTAATTTTACTCAGAAAAACATTTGCATTGACTGATTTTAAGTGTTTTAAAAGTATTTTTTATTTAATAGTGATAATAAGATGAAATTATGATGGGAAAATTGAAAATTTTTTCTGGAATTCGGAACTCGAAGTCGGAAATTTGTACCCAGAGTCGGAGTTGGTTTTTTTTGAGGAGTCGTAGTCGGGAGTCGGATTTTTTCGAGGAGTCGGATATTTTTCATCCGGCTGCGGCACACTGGCTACGGTTTTGCTTTGGTAGGTGTAATGTTGGAAATATTATGAAAAAAAGCAATGTTTGTAACAATTGGTTTATTCACTTCCATGTTACGTTGTATGAATTTACAGTAACGACTCTCCCTAAACTCTGAAAAACTATATGCAAAATATTTTATTTAAATCATTGTCTATTAACAACAACTTTATTCCTGTTTAAAAAGCGTTCCAAATTAAGATACTTTGAAAATTTGAAAATTTCAGATCAACTTGTCTTCATTGTCTTTAGATAAATTTTCTAGAGAAAAGTTCGTCAAACTATCTAGAAATTACTACAAGAAAGACATGTTATCATTAGAATTAAGCAGGTGCTTAAATTATTTTTAATTTTTGTGAACCAAATTTAGCTCTTTTTTCATACTAAAAGTTGTCCAACAAGAAAGCAAAATTACGATCATGGCATTTTCTTATTAACCGCACTTGTTACAGAATCAAAGGTAACTCATTTCAAATGTTAAATAAGTTTTCATGAACTATTTTTAACACATTTTGGTATTTTTCATGTCAATTTGATGGTAAGCGGGAGAATATATGCTAAATAAAGTTTTCTAAATAGAATTTTATTTGTTTTTATTTGAATATAGCAGCGAGTGTTTAATGTTTTGAACCTCAATTCCAACTCGGCTATAGAAAACTTTCATTTGATCATAATTTTATTTTTAATTTAAACGTATTGTTTTGCATTTTGCACAGCTATTTTTTATTGCAAAAGAGCTGTTAATTTGTTTCCAAGAAATTTAAATTTTAAAATTTTAAGTTAAATTTCAGGGGGTCAGATATTGTTATTTTTCTTTTTATTTGAACAAACACTTGCAGAAAACTTGTTCGTTATCAGTGTACACAAACAATGGTTTATCATTGATTTAAACAGTTTTATTTGTTGCTTTAACGTATACTGCAGTTGTAAATCATTGTTCGTCATGCTTTACCAAAACATCCAGAAATGACAATGAATCTAGTAGTGAATGATAGTACTACTACTACATGAAAACAGGAAAAGATCATCTCTAATAATAAAAAACAATTCCAACACTAAACCTTCCTCGGATATGAAAAGTAGTCATTTGATTTATTCATTCACATGTAAAATTTGTGAGTGCGTGCATCAAAATTCTGAATACATCGGAATGACTACAACAACATTAACGAGAAGACTCACTATGCATAAGCAACATGGAGCAATAAAAGACCACCTAATGGAACAACACTATTTTAACAAGGGAAATTTTAGACAATAACACCAAAGCAGTTTATTACAACAGAGAATACTTCAAATTGAAGATAGCAAAATCAATTTTCATCGATAAACATAAACCAGCAATAAATATTTAACTAAATAATACCAATATTTTTCCAACAAAGAAACACATGATAAACCTTAGCTCTAATTAAGTTACAATCAAAGTCACTGTGAAAATAAAGGCACAAAGATGGAACAATACTAAATAACTACAGTGATGATGGAAGTTGATGCCGAAAAGAGCTTTTCTGTAGTAATAACGTTATTAATAATGCTTTGTCAAAAATGTCAAATATTAAAAGTTTTTTATTTAACCTTATTAAGCTTCATCAAGATGATAAAAGTCTCGTTAGAAAAATTAAGAAACTCAACTACAAGTTGAATAATGCCGAAAACGCAGTGATCTTTATAAATAATTGTATTTATGATAGTCTAAACCCAAAATATATATATGTGTATGTGTGTGTATATATATATATATATATATATATATATATATATATATATATATATATACATATATGTATATATATATATATATATATACAGTACACACAAATCAGGTAGAGTCTACGTCGACAACTCATTCCAGAATATCTTGTTCGACTTCTGATACGAATACTAAGACTCTTGTCAGCACAAGGGTTGGAAACACAGATGCATTTGACATCGGCGTTGGAGTTCACCAAGGCTCGATTCTCAGTCCACTGTTATTTATAACTGTGAAGGAAGAAATCACAAAACCGATACGCACTGGTGACATTTGGAATCTAGTATATGCTGATGATATCGTTTTAACAGCCACGTCTGAGCAGAATGCAGCACAGATGTTTGAAGATTGGAACACTGGACACGCCGATCACGGATTCAAAGTCAACATCAGCAAAACCAAAGCAATGAACACTGGTGAACCCATCCAATCCACAGCTACTGGACGATGGCCCTGTTCAGTTTGTAAAGCTGGTGTAGGTAACAATTCAATCAAGTGTCAGCAGTGTAACCAGTGGTGTCACAAACGTTGTTCAAAAATAATTGGTACTTTATCTAAAGTGTCCAATTGTGTTTGTTCTGCTTGCATCAATCCACAACAACAGTCTAATAAACTAAACGTTCACCAAAAAAACTTTAGTGAGAAAAATCGAAAAAACGAACTACAAACATGTTAACGCCAAACATTCGGTAGAATATTGTGTATTATATCAATCAACCTTCGTTTTGCGTCCAGAGACCCAGTTTCCCGAGGTAGGACGTTGTTTTCTTTGCCATCAACTTTTTGCGCCAAATTAGACGATCAGTTGTATCCATTTCATTCAAATTTAGAGCTCTCATGTCCCGCTCGATTGTTTGCGACCAGGACTTTTTTGGACGGCCTTTGGGACGTGTGCCAGGTACTTCAACATCTTCAAGAGAAGTTATGGCACTGTTTCTACTTCGTTTGACATGACCAAACCACCTCAGACGGTGTTGCCGGCATTCGTCCTTTATATGATCTTAAACCAGCCCAACGCAGGATTTCGGTAGATTTGATGTGGTCCTTCAGACTAATTCGTTGCATCCATCGGAGCATTTTTATGTCGGTTCGTTGAAGTTGTTGTTCCGGTTTGGTTGTCATTGGCCATGTTTCTGCACCATAAAACAACCACGGACGTATCACAGATTTATAAAGTCTTGATCGTAGTGTTAGTGGGATGTCACGCCGCATCAATATAGAGGCAAGGAGATGCTATTTATTCCAGGCTGCACGTATGCGTGCTCGAACGGCAGCTTCAGCTGTACCAGTACAATCCAGAACATCCCCTAGATATTGAAACGATGTGACTTTCTCTACCTTAATGGCTTCAAAAACAGTGTTATTTCGTATTTGTTGTTGTGGATTGATGCAAGCAGGACAAACAAAATTGGACACTTTATATAAAGTACCAATTATTTTTGAACAACGTTTGTGACACCGCTGGTTGCACTGCTGACACTTGGTGAACTCCAACGCCGATGTCAAATGCATCTGTGTTTCCAACCGTTGTGCAACCGTGTTTCCATCACAAGTCGAACAAGATATTCTGGAATGAGTTGTCGACGTAGACTCCACCTGATTGCTTTACGGGGCACTCGATCAAATGCTTTTTCAAGGTCTACAAAAATGTGTGATAGTTGTTGATGCTTTGCGAGGTACTTCTTTTGCAGTTGCGAAGGATTTGAATTGCATCAATTGTTGATTTTCCCGCTGGGGAACCAAATTGATAATTTTCTATTGTGATACACGACGTTAATCTTCTCTCAATGATTTTCTCGACAATTTTCAGGGAGTGTTCTAACAGACGTATACCCCGATATGATGAACAGTTCAATGGATCACCTTTGCTTTTGTATAGCGGAACTGTCATGCTATAGTTCCATTCAGTCGGCATTGAGCAATATCTCCACACTTAACGACAAAGTTGTAGTAACGTTTGGATACCTGCTGTACCAGATGCTTTGATAATGTCATTTGTGAGTCCAGAGGACCCTGCTGCCTTTCCATCCTTCATAGCTTTCAGAGCTTCTGTAAGCTCCTCTACAGTGATGTCTGAAATCGGACCTTCGATGGGTGAAGCGTCAAAGTTAACATTGATGGGATTTGTTTCATTTAACAGAAGGTTGAAGTATTCTCTCCACTGTAGATGTTTGGATAATCAGATTTTATTAAAAGCGAAGTGTAATAAAACCTAAATTAATTATATGTTAAATTAAAGTAATAGAAGTAGACTACATTTGAAAAAACATACTTTATAGTGTACTATTCACAAAATTTTAATATTTTTAAATAGTAAAATCAATCAATCAATCAATCTTCGTTTAGCGTCCAGAGATCCAGTTCCCCCGAGGTAGGACGTTAAATTATTAACGTAATTTAAATAGTAAAACGTATGATTTAAAATTTAGAATTAGTAAAGTAAATGGATTAATTATAATTAAGTAATTTAAATCAATTAAGTAAATGTATAATAATATATTAATCTACAGCATAATAATAGGGAAAACGAAAACTTGAATCGCACGTCGCAAGGCCACTATGTCCCACTGTCAAATAAAGATACTTAGGCTCGGTTCTAGTGCTCTTTTGTGCCTAGGCAACATGCGAATTTTCCGCCCCTCTCCAATAATTTTTGATTTGAAAAAAAAAAACAAAATCTGATTACCCCAACCAACTTCAATCTCATTTTAATTTATTATAAAAATCCTTTGTACACAAACTTCACACAAATCGATTCATGTTAAAAACAAATTAACAAAATATTAATTTATGTAAGTCGTATTTAAAAATGAATTTGTATGACTCTAAATTTAGAAAATTTTTTAATTCATTATTTTAATCATTTGAACACAAACTTTACACAAATAAATCGTTTCATATTAAAAAACAAATTAGCAAGTCGTATTTAAAAATGAATTTTTCTGGCTTTAAATCCAGAAATTTTTTATGGATTAATTCAAATTAATCACAAGCTTCTTTTTCTGTTGAAATGTAGTAAGACCAACCAAACGATCTTGGCACATTTGAGGCCACAAATACGAATACGATTTTTTAACTTTAAAAAAGCTTCTTTTGGCACTAGCAATTGTGACTAGTAACATTAGAAGAATTTGAAGAGCTATTGAAAGGTTAGGTAATTTCGATGAATTGCAAAACATTTTTCGATGTATTGCAAAACCTTTAAAAATCCATTCCGTTTATATGTTACAGAAACCCAAGTAAATCATTATGTTCTAATAATTGAGTAAATCTATTATTTACTGCTTGAATTTATATGTCTAATATCTGGTTGCAAAAAGATACTCTAAACTTTTGTTCAGGTGACACTATCGGTTCATCATTGCCTTCATATGAAAATGGTCGGTATTTTTGCGCATACGTGAATTTCTCATAAAATCCTTCACAACTTCCCAGTTCATTTGGCTATTTGGCTTTCTCAATCCTTGCTGCTTCAAAAGCTTCATCAGAGTGGTAATCGCATAAAAAAGATTTAGCAGCATTTAAAATGTTTTAAAGCTAGACACAGATCTAAAGTCTGTGATTGCAAAATTTTGTTGACAATCTTAATTTGTAATAAAATATCATACCACAACACTAGGAACAAAGAAACTTGAAATTTAAAATATTTGTTGCTTATCCTTTAGCCTCTCTGCGTTTCTTGATTTGTGGTACAGTTATTAATGTTATTATTTTCAGCTATTGCAGTAAATGCTTCATAAACTCCACCGATCTGAAGTCTAAGTGCCCGAACGGCATCTACCCTACTTTTCCAACGAGTGCCATTTAAAGGTTTTACAGTAAAAATGTTAACATGGTTTAATAATACATTCCAACGGTGAGTTGACGTTAAGAAAAATAAGAAATATATTGAATTAAATTTAAATAAAGCTACAGACTCCATACAGCAATTGGCTGCATCATATAATACCAAATTAAGCGAGTGAGCACTACATGGAACAAAAAAAGTTCGATGATTAAATCGACAAATTCTTGCTTGGACACCATTACACTTACCACGCATGTTGGCTGCGTTATCATACCCTTGTCCTCTCATGTCACCAAGATTCACACCAAGTTCCTGCATCTTTTTAATAATAAATTTTTGCTAGTTTCAATTTTGTTAATTTGAAGGTATTGTTAATTTTACTAGATAGCAGTACAACATTTTCATTCTGAATCATATTTCCGAGATAGTGTGAATTTCAAATGTTGTTGTTCGCATAATGTGTTCACTTATAATAGGATCATAAATGCACAAAAATTCAATAAATTTGAGAAAGTTCCCATTGTTCAGTTTATAAAGTTTTTCACAACTTCCTCTTAATACCAGATTTCGTCCAGCAAGAGTATTGATTAACGTTATTATTCTTACAAGAATTTTTGTCAACTATTATTTACCTATTGAATAATTTCCTTATTAATATCCTCAATATTAGTCGCGTCAGATGAATGTGGCAAATTTATTATTGTTGTTTTTTACTAATACGTCCAGAAATGGGGGTTTATTGTCCTTGGATTTTTCTATGGTAAATCTTAGTTTAGGTGAGTTAAATGTGTGTAGGAGATTATATGTTTATCACAATAATCTTGAAAATGTGCCACATAAAAATGCTCCGATAGATGCAACGAATTAGGACCACATTAAATCTACCGAAATCCTGCGTCGTGCTGGTTTAGATGATATAAAGGACGAATGCCGGCAGTACCGTCTGCGGTGGTTTGGTCATGTCAAACGAAGTGGAAACAGTGCCATAACTTCTCTTGCAGATGTTGAAGTACCTGGCACGCGTTCCAAAGGCCGTCCAAAGAAGTCCTGGTCGCAAACAATCGAGCAAGACATGAAAGCTCTAAATTTAAATGAAATGGATACAACTGATCGTCTAATTTGGCGCAAAAAGTTGATGGCAAAGAAAACAACGTCCTACCTCGGGAAACTGGGTCTCTGGACGCTAAACGAAGATTGATTGATTGACAATCATCTGACGCAACTAGTAGAACACATGAATTAGAAAGAGTTACTAAACTTCTCATCAACAATGGATATAAAAAATCTTTAATCGACAGAATTACAAGTCAAAAAGAACAAAAAAACACTAATAATATAACTAGTAATACTAATAACATCGTACTTTATAATAAAAATCATATGTCTACCGCCTATAAGCAAGATAAAAAAATCATGAAAAGAATAATACGAAACAATATTAAAACCATCAAAATTAAAATACGAATCTACTATGCAAACCAAAAAACACCATCCATGATAATGAAAAACAATAACTATACTAAATACCAGGCTTAATATTAGATAGAAATCACCTTATATATTCATTTACTTGCAAAATTGGTGATTGTTTACACTAAAAATCTGAATATGTCGGAGTCATTGGCACAAAACTATCAAGAAGACTTACTATGCACGTTCAGCCTGGCGCTATCAAAAACCACCTGAAGACAAAAACGAAATTCTCTAGAGACAAAGACATCCCATTATAAATATTCAACAAAGGGCCACTGGCGTTCTACCATTCCATAAAATTAGAAATCATAAAAACTTTAATTCACACAATTAAAGGCAAAGAACTCGTACAAATTTGGTTAACATAGGAACAAAGTAACAACTTATATAAAGGCATAAACAACGGGAAAATTAACATTGATAATGGAAATCTGAATTTTTGAAAAAAGCTTCTCTGTTTGCGACTAGGACTTCTTTGGACGGCCTTTAAGACGTGTGCCAAGTACTTCAACATCTGCAAGAGAAGTTATTTTAAAGTTATGGCACTGTTTCCACTTCGTTTGACATGGCCAAACCACCGCAGACGGTGTTGCCTGCATTCGTCCTTTATATCATCTAAACAGGATTTTGGTAGATTTGAGAAGGTCTATTGTAGAGTGGCAGCTTCCGGCCAGGAAAGACTCTACCGAAGTAAAGGCTCGGTTGGATATTTGTATGCGGACGCGGTTCGAGACCGCGTGGCGCGGAATTCGAAAATCGCCCAACAAAAATCTGCTAAAGGAAAAATAGATAATTAAATTTGTAATAAAAAATTAAATTGTTTCATTAGAAGATCGGTAAGCAAAACGTTTCAAAGCCAATTTAGCTAGGTGAATCGTTAGTTAGGTTAGGCGAAAACGACAAAGAAGTTTTAAAAATTTTCAGAAAGCGGCACTTTTTTTATTTTTTTATTTCATTGGTAATAACAAAAAACGCCGCTTCCTGAAAGTTGAAAAAAAATTGAAAACGTAAAACAAGAAATGAAAAGAATCACGTAGAAGGACCAAAAATACTTAGATCGTGTCGCTCTTTCCAAAATGAATTCAAATAAAACGCCATGTTCAGATGAGATAGTTGTTGAAGAAAATAGAAAAAAGTGTTAAAGATCGGGTTTTGTGGAGGTCGATGGTCATCAATGTCCTGAAAGGATAAGGCACAGGAAGGAAAGAAGTATACACACGCACACACACACCCATATATATATATATATATATATATATATATATATATATATATATATATATATATATATATATTTATTTATTTATTTATTTATTTACTTAGATCTGAAATTCGTGTAACTCTTTTCAAAATAAAATCGAATAAAGCGCTATGTTTTCGAAATAGCAATGTTTTTGAAGCCATTAAGGTAGAGAAAGTCACATCGTTTCAATATCTAGGGGATGTTCTGGATTGTACTGGTACAGCTGAAGCTGCCGTTCGAGCACGCATACGTGCAGCCTGGAATAAATAGCATCTCCTTGCCTCTATATTGATGCGGCGTGACATCCCACTAACACTACGATCAAGACTTTATAAATCTGTGATACGTCCGTGGTTGTTTTATGGTGCAGAAACATGGCCAATGACAACCAAACCGGAACAACAACTTCAACGAACCGACATAAAAATGCTCCGATGGATGCAACGAATTAGTCTGAAGGACCACATCAAATCTACCGAAATCCTGCGTCGTGCTGGTTTAGATGATATAAAGGACGAATGCCGGCAACATTGTCTGAGGTGGTTTGGTCATGTCAAACGAAGTGGAAGCAGTGCCATAACTTTCCTTGCAGATGTTGAAGTACCTGGCACACGTCCCAAAGGCCGTTCAAAGAAGTCTTGGTCGCAAACAATCGAGCAAGACATGAAAGCTCTAAATTTAAACGAAATGGATACAACTGATGTTCAAAATGATTCCATTAAAAAAAGATTATATTAATAGTAATAACAGCTATTGAAAAAAACTTGTTAAGAAAACGTGAGCTAATGGAGAACTTTCCTAAAAGAAAATAAATTTAAACTTTTAAGATGTATCTACAATATACATCAGACGCAGCCGATTGGGGAAGATTATTTTAGGATCGTGCACGTATGTAAAGTAGCAGAAGCCATGTTCAATGGATCTGTTTTTTTTTAATATTTATTAGTTTTTTAGTTTACTCATTAAATTTATGAAATGGTACTTGACTATACTGATTTATTTAAATGCATTAGAAACGTGAATGTTGGGAAGCAGAAAGATGTTCAAATGACATAGATGAGTATATTTGGAATTTCAGCAAGTCCAAATTAAATTTAGAAAAAATTATGAAGGTTTTTGTGTTTATTTATTTTTTTTTCATAAAAACAATTCTGAGTACATAAATTTCCAATACATTTTTCAAGTTAAAAAATATGTTCAAAGTTTTTAATAACATGACGTTTAATTCATTTCAACACAGACAAAATAAAAGGCGGCTTTAAATTTATTCAATTATCTTCTACGTAACCTTAACCTATCATTTACTTTGTTACTTTATTTTTACCTTTTCGTGTGCAAAGAGGTTTTTAGCAATTTTTTCTTTTGATAATGCACCTTATTATTTTTTTAATGAATTTTCAGTTAAACTTGTTTTCCGTATTTCGAAAAAACACTTGCTTCTTAAACCAAAGAATTTTTATTTATCTGCTTTTTTTGCTTCTTAGTTGCAGTCATGATCATCATTCAAGCAGCAGTATCATATGTTGGAACTATAATGCATATTCACCGCCAAATATAGCAATATTTCCCGTGATGAGCTAGACGAAAGACGAGGCAAATCTTGAAAAAGTTTTGCAAGTCCATTTTGAATTAGTTGAGAAGATATATAGGTCAAGAAATACGAGACATCTTGAATGAGAGCAGAGGTGTGAGGTTTGAATGTAAGAAAGGTATCAAGTTTAATTCATGAAAGTTTGGTAGTGATTGTTATAGGTAGGTAATGGTTGGTATAGGTAGTGGTTGATATATATATTATATATATATATATATAAACTTCATTAAATATTTTTGCCCATTTTGGGTTGATTAGTTTTTTACCAATAGATTCAACATTTCGTATTTGGGTTAAATCATATTTATTAAACAGTTGTGTCATAGTGCGGCTTACAACGTTGTTTCGGCGTGAGCGCCATCTTCAGAGCCTTGAGTAATATATTTATACATTAGAGTATGTTGAATAATTATAAAATGTATTAATATATGAAATTGAAATAGAATAAATTACGTTGAAAAGTAATTAAGAATATGTGAGATAAGAAAATAAATTAGAATAAATAAAATATGATAAGTTAATTAAAATATATAAAATAAAATGACGATAAGTAAACAATATATTACCTTTGCTGTTAAAATAGTGCATAATTAAAATATTTCATATAAGGTATTTAAAATAAATAAATTAATTAATCAAATTGTTTTAGATAATGTAGAATTACAAAGTAATAAATTGCGGCTACATGTTAAAATAATTAAAAAATTAAATAAAACGAAGTATGTATTACACTAAATGATAGATAAAATTATAACAATGCAAGTGTAGTGGAAATGGTATTATAGTAGCTCGATGTGATGTTGTGTACGAAGAATGAGTTTGTATGAAGCGATATAAAGTGTTATATATTGGTATATTGAGAAAATATTGTCAATATGTGTTAATAGATTGTATGCTATATAAAACTTGTGCTATATTTTTGTAGTAAGTAAGTACATACATATATATATATATATATACCAGTATATATATATATACAGTGGATTTAATAGTCACTTCAGTCGATCTTCCTGTTCAAGACTGTATAGTATATCCAAGTGGAATCCACTCTGATCATTAAAATTGCACTATCAATGACTCGAAATTGTACGTCAAGAATAAAAAAAATAGTCAAATTATGGAATCGTTTGAATGAGGATGAATTCATTGTTGTTTACTAGAAAAATAAATTGTGGTCAATAGAGTTGTACAAATCCATATGGTAGTCACCAATCGTGTTAATTTGGCTCCGTGGTTTGATGATGAGTGCATGTTTTGTAAACGTGCTTGTAGAAGGAAAGAACGAATTTTTAAAAATAGTTTGCAACAAGTTCATCGTAAGGAATGGAGATGTGCTTTGAAAAATAAATCAAAACGCTTTTCAGAGAAACGTCACAAATATTGGACTAGGATTGTTGAGGAGAACAAGACATAACCTAAAAATCTCTGGAAAGTTTTGAATAAAATTCTCTGCAAAGATCATAATGACAATCATTCTTCTAGTATGCATGAACTTACGCCGGATCGATTTATGTCCTTCTTTAACGACAAACTGAGTAAGGTGATAGACAGCATCGAAATCAAAGTTCAGTCTAACTCGTCTAACAGATCAAATCTCAAAAATTTATCCGCAACATTTTCAGATGTTTCTGGGGAAATTCACCAACAAAGTCTTTTCAGCAAAATGCAATACCGACTCACGTACTCAAAAAGTTTATTAATCTATTTTCGCCATTTTGACATGCCTTGTCAATATGTGTTTAAATCAAAGTAAATTTCCCTCTGTTTGCAAACATGCTATAATAACTCCACTTCTGAAAAAACACAATCTTGATGAAAATAATGTTGAAAACTATAGACCAATATCCAATCTGTCGTTCATATCTAAAATAATCGAACGTGTGGTTGTTAAACAGATACTCACTCACCTAGAGAATAATGCCGATTTATCAATCAGGTTTCAGGCAATACCACTCAACTGAAACGGCTCTATTAAAGGTTCTGTCTGATGTCTATGTGGCTATCGATCAACAGAATACGTCTATGATAGTGTTCCTCGATATGTCATCCGCATTTGATTATGTAAATCACAAAATACTTTTAGAGAGATTGTGTGTTACTTTTGGATTATCTGGTGCTGTGTTAAGGTGGTTTGAATCGTATTTGGTTGGTAGAACTCATTTGGTGGTAAAGTGTCCAAGGTCAATATAGTTTTGTCTGGTGTGCCCCAAGGTTCGGTTCTGAGTCCTGTCATGTTTCTTCTGTATACACCTGAAGTATTCAAAGTAATCGAATCATTTGGACAGATTGGTTGAATGTTTATCAAAGGTTGATTTGTGGATGCAAAACAATGCTCTTAAACTGAATCAGAGTAAAACGAAACTTTTGCCGGTAAGTACGTGGCAACAGCTTTTGAAGCTAGAAACTGATTCAATTATTGTCTTTACTCAGGAGGTTACGCATTCCAGACATACGGAGCAGCGTGACGAAAACCGCGGCCAGCCAGGCGGGATCCGGCAACGGGAATGTTTAAGAAACCTGTTGAGCTGCTGCGGAGTGATCTAGTATGTTCATGTCTGGATATGAGGTCGTATAGATTTGTTGGGGATTTTAATAAAGGGGTTTTGAAGGTAAGGACTGCAATTTTGAAGACGATTCGAGCGGAAATTGGAAGCCAATGAAGCATTGGAAAGAGAATGGAAGAACTAAAACGAGGAGGTTTATTAAATATAAGTCTAGCAGTTTTATTTTTGATAGTCTGTAGCTTTCTGACAGATGCACGTGAGGCCCCATACAATAAGGAGTTGCAGTAGTCTAATCTAGAAAGGATCAAACATCTGCAAAGGGCAGCAGCAACATCACATGTAATCATATGTCTAATATGTCTTATTGCGCAGAGGTGATAGTTGCAGGATCTGATGATTTCTGATAAGTGTTTATCAAAATTTAGATGTCTGTCAAAAGTGACCCCAAGCAACTTGATCGCATCCGAGATAGGCAATGTGGACCCTGCTATGTCCATTTCCTCGAGCTGAAACCTCGACAGTTGTTGATGTGTCCCAATGACCATAATTTCAGATTTGTTAGGGTTGAGAAGAAAATTATTAGCATACCACCGATAAACCTCGCTAGTACAATTGCTTAAGACTCGAATTCTGCTTTCAAGATCGCCAGAAGTGACAGATGTATGCAGATGAGTGTCATCGGCGTAGTGATGAGAAAATAATCCATCTTTACTAAAAATGTCGCTGACAAGAGACACATAGGTAGTGAACGAGATTGGACCGTGGACGGAACCCTGAGGGACTCCAGTGTCGATCATCAGGTAGAGGAAGTATGGTTTCCCAGCTTCATAAACTGCTGTCTGCAGCTCAGGTAAGATCTAATCAGTGATAGTGCATGACCATCCACCCCAAACTCTTGTTGTAGGCGTTCGAGAAGAACCGAGTGACTGATGGTATCAAAGGCTGCGGACAAGTCGAGCCCAACTGCAATGATTACCTTTCGGTTGCCAGCTTCATTAAAAATATCATCAGCAATGTGTAGCAATGCAGTCTTAGTGGAATGATGAGAACGATAAGCAGATTGAAGATTTGGATAGTTATGATTGGACATTAGGACATTAGGTGGGCACGTAGTCTTAGCAATATGACGCGCTCAAGTAGCTTTGAGAATGTTGATAAGTTTGATATAGGGCGGTAATTTGACGGGTCATCAGGATCCAAGGATGGATTTTTCAGTAGTGGTAAAACCTGAGCAGTTTTATAAAGTGAAGGAAAGCATTCCGTGCTGAAGACAGAGTTAGTCAGCTTGATCAGAATAGGTGCTAAGATCGACGAGAATTGCTTTAGCATTGAGGTTGGAATAGGATCAATGGGTGATGTTTTGTTCGGTAGAGAGGCAATGAGTTTAGTCATCTCATCACAATCAGTATCAGCAAATTGAAGAAAGATGTCGCCTTTATATGGACGAGCAGGGAAAGTGACAGAGGTGGATTTAGAGATAGCGGTGGATATTGAGAGATGTATTTTTTTTATTTTTTCCTGAAAAAATAAATGTGCTGAAGGAATTAACCAGCCTGAAAAAAATGTGCTGAAGGAATTAACCAGCCTGAAAAAATGTGCTGAAGGAATTAACCAGCCTCTTGCAATCTGCATCACTATAGCCGTGAAGAACTTTGTTAGCCGCTTGGTTTGGTTAGTAACAAAGGCCACAGGGAACGAGGGTTTGAATTTGATTTACCGAATTCAGAGCTTATACAGTCCGCTCTAGATTTGAGAATGGCGGTTTTAACTGTGTTTTTTGCAAACCTGTAAGCATGTTTTACCGCGTGATGAGGATCCAGTCGCAATTTTCTTTCTAGGCGTCGACACTCTCTCTTTTCCTGACGTGCCTCATCAGAAAGAGTGAAGATATGTTTTTGGCCACTCCTGATGGTAATAGTTTTTAGTGGAGCGTGTCGATCCAGCAAACTGTGCAAATTCCGATCAAGGGCTGTAGCCAGCATATCAGGATCCAGTGAAGCAGAGAGCAGAGAATCGGCAACAGCCATTAAGTCAGATTGAAATCTGTTTAGGTTAATGCGATGTATGCCTATATGTACTAGTTTCAACTAGGGGCGGGGTACTGAATGTACATATGTCCATAAGAATGATTTTATTTATGGTCAGAGTAGGTGACATCTGATGATCTCACATCTTTTATGCTGTCTGAAAACGAAGTCGAGGTGATGATTAGATCAAGAGTATTACCACACCGGTGTGTTGGAAAGCTTACGTGTTGAGATAAGTTATTTTCTTCCAGAAGAGAGGAGAGACGCTCGCTACCTGGACAGTTGAAATCGCCACAAATTATAAAGGAATATGAAGATGATTGTAAGTAATTTATCAAAGTCTCCAGTTCTTCAAAAAACGAATCAACAGCCGGACCAGGAGGGCGATAAAGAACGGCGAGAATAATAGCCGACTCAGAGCACACGAGCTTGGTGACAAGCAGTTCGAACGTTGTGAAAATACCAAAATCTAGCGCTGAATGTCGAAATGTCGCCCGGTATACAACAGAAATGCCACCACCGCGCCGATCAAGCCTATGATAATGTGCCACAGAAAAACCAGGTGGGGCAATATCCAGCCTCACTGCATTGGGTGCGTCAGATGAGATCCAAGTCTCCGTAAGTGCCAGCATGTTAATGCCATTGTCGACAATGGTGTCATGAAGGAGAGCCGCTTTATTGACAGCCGAGCGAGCATTCAGAAGACCCAAAATTGTTTCTGTAGAATTTTTATGAGATCCATCTACTGCAGACAACGAGTGCCTAAGCCTGATACGACCCTTCCGAGGCCTCCAGATCCTCAACCGGAACAAAATTTTTCTAGCGGGTCTAGGGATAGGTCGCGAGATGGCTGCAGGCGCCAGTGAAAGCAGCTACGCGGTTGTGTATGCAAATGTCATCTACAAATAGAAAATGAAGGATATATATGCAATTGTGTGATTGATGTTAAGATACAATTGTTGTTTGATTGATGTTTATGCTGATTGTCGAAACCTGTGACGTAACTGATGATGGCAGCGAGGAAATCGTCGACGATTGTTGTTTGATTGACGTTTATGCTGATTGTCAAAAGCCCTGACGTAGCTGACGATGGCAGCGAGGAGATCGTCGACAATTGTTGTTTGATTGACGTTTATGCTGATTGTCAAAAGCCCTGACGTAGCTGACGATGGCAGCGAGGAGATCGTCGACAATTGTTGTTTGATTGAAAGTTGAAGAAACGGTTGAAAAAAAATAAATTTGTTCTAGATTGAATAATTTAGTTGTAACGGACCAGATGAGACTATGTACATAAGTTAACAATGTTGATAGGTGAAAGCCCGCACTATGTACATATGTTAATAATGTCGATAGGTATTATATTTGAGAAAGAATGTTGTAACTGTTGACAGGCGAAGCTAAGTTAATTACAACTGAAAGCTGATTGGTTCAGGAAGGCGATTGCAGAACATGTGCATTACGTTCATTGATAAAGTCAATTCGCAGCTGACATTTGGTTGGCTGAGGAAAGTAGTCTATGTGTAGAATTGCAGGTGAAACACACAACACACTCCAAACACCGTTACAAACCAAAAACCACCGAAAACCACAATAAATTTCACCAACCGATAGTCCGCTGTGTCGTCAGGACCAGTAACACCACCTCCGAGAAAAAACTCGTGAAACAACGACCTATAACAACACAAATTATCGAAAAACGATAGAGCTCCGCTAAAACACGCAGTCGCGAGACAGCGTGTTTTAGCGACTGCGTGTTTTAGCGGAGCACTATCGCAATATATTGTTTACTTATCGTCATTTTGTTTTATATATTTTAATTAACTTATCATATTTTATTTATTCTAATTTATTTTCTTATCTCACATATTCTTAATTACATTTCAACGTAATTTATTCTATTTCAATTTCATATATTAATACATTTTATAATTATTCAACATGCTCTAATGTATAAATATATTACTTAAGGCTCTGAAGATGGCGCTCACGCCGAAACAACGTTGTAAGCCGCTCTATGACACAACTGTTTAATAAATATGATTTAACCCAAATACGAAATGTTGAATCTATTGGTAAAAAACTCATCAACGCACAATGGGCATAAATATTTAATGAAGTTTGTATCGCTAAGAACCTCGTACCAAAATATATATTTATATATATATTCTTATATATGTATATATGTTCTTATATGTATATGTATATATATATATATTCTTATATATGTGTATATATATATATATATATGTTGGTAATAGACCATAATTTTTACAATATTCTATAAATTCTACCGAATGTTTGGCGTTAATATGTTTGTAGTTCGTTTTTAACAATGACCGTAAAAATGTTTCACCCATAGTGGCAGATGATCATAATTACTCTTGGCGAAAAGGAAAAAGAAATATTGGTAATCTTTAGTTTGGATGTAAGATTAACGCTGAACGAATTTCATAAACAGATAGGATAAGAAAAACTTCGCAGGATTATCAAATGTCATTTCGGGCTTCTATTTAAGTTACTTTAAGTCATGACGTCTTTCAAATCATTTGTTGGCCTTCGTTTTCTGATTTCTTTTTCTGATTTCACTTAATAGTTTTTTTTCCCACATGACCCATTTTTTTCTTAGCAACTCCATAGTTTTTGTCAATACAGTCTTTAAGACAATGTTTTTTAACGGTTGCCCCTTTATTCTTCTTGTTCTTTACAATAAAGTTTGTATAGTAAGCATTTTCTGACACAATTCTCACATACTAAACTTTTATTTTTCATGAACATTATTCCTGTATCCGCTTTTTAAAAACGGTTAGTTGAGAGCCTCACCGCCATCTGTTTACCGAACTTTAATTTATGTTAAAAATTCAAATCAAGCATCAATCTTTTTTATGTCTATATTTACTCATAGGTCATTTACTTTTATGAATCTTTCTGACATTCGGCAAATAAGGCTGGGTGGTATGCTCAAAGTACTTTCTAACCTTTTTCCTTTAATCTATTACCATCTTTTCCCGTTGTACATGCATATTACTGTTTCAACAAAAAACTTTTCAATTTTTATTTTTCTTAAAGCGAATTCAACAATTTTTCAAGAATCTTGTCGACGAACACAATAATTTGATGTATTTTATCTCTGAATTTTTCTCTCTCTAACAATTTAAATCGCCTCTGCCAAAAAACCTTAGCGCATTTCGTGGTGATAATCGTAGTCTATATTTATTTATATTTGAAATATTGTTTATGCATATTTGAAACTAAATAACTTTGTTGATTTACGTTAGATCCGGTCAGCAGAAAAAAACAAATGTTCTACAGCCCATACTGAAAATTACCAACGATCGGTTGAAAAACTATTGAATGGCAATGAAAATTTAATCAATTTAATCAACTACAAGAAAATTGTCAAAGAGATTTTAATTTTTTGATACATAGAGAAACAATCAAAATTGTTCACCATGCGCTATATTTTGTTTTAAATAACTTGTATTAATTAATTAATTAATTTACTTTCCTTTTTACTTATTTTTATTTATTTATTTATCAAAATTATGACACCCAGTGGCGTATCGCTGGCGCCGGGTCGTAGAGGGCGCCAAAATGGGTATAATAATACTACTTAAACTCAGAAAATTCGTGGTTACATTATTTTAGAAAATGTTATTTCACATATCAGCCAAATATAAAATCTGTAAAGTCGGTCTTTAAGTAATATTGGAGTTTGATTTCTTTGTACCCAAATCGATAATATAAGTATCGTTGGTGTTGAATAATTTTTGCAATTACTGAAGTTTTTCAGAAACTAGAAAGAGTGGAAAGCTTTGTTTACTTAGGGGATAAGCTAAACGCGGATGGAGGATGTTTGAGCGCAGTTACGGCTAGAGTTCGTGTGGGATGGATGAAATTTAGGGAACTGGGTGGGGTATTGTGTGGAAAGAAATGGTCAGTGAAGATGAAAGGGAGGGTATATAAAGCATGTGTGAGAGCAGCGATGGTATATGGTGGTGAAACTTGGGTGTTGAGGAGAGAGGAGGAAAGTGTACTGCAGAGGGCTGAAAGAGCTATGGTGAGGATGTGTGGGGTTAAAGTGAAGGATAGGAGGAGTAGTACAGAGCTGATGTCGATGATGGGACTGAATGAGGACATTGTGACATTGATAAGGAGATCGAGATTGCGGTGGTATGGACATATGTTGAGAAGGGATGAAAGGGTCGGGATTAGGCGAGCGTTGGAGTTCGAGGTTGAAGGAGTGGTAGGAAGGGGTCGTCCGCGATTGGGATGGAGAGAGCAGGTGGAGAAGGACAGGGTGAAAGCAGGGTTGCGTGATACTGAGGCGAGTGACAGATGTGGATGGCGTCGAGGGGTATTTCGGTTTCATCATAGGTAGCCAAACGGTAACCCCCGATCTCGGGGAAAATGTTGTCTAAACGTGTGTTGTTGTTGTTGTTTGACAGTACCATATATATAACCTGGTCTGTAGTCTCCAGTTAATAGCGGTATTTTATGTTCTGTTGAGTTAGCATTGATTTGTCGAATAATTTGGTTAGTTTTCGTTTTAAGCGACAGTGTTGGATTTTTAGTTATCAGTTTAAATTTAGTTTCATCTTTCAATATGTCATTTAATTTAGATAAATAAGTTTTATTGTCTAATATTACGTATAAATTAGATTTATCGGCTTTCAATCCATGTCTAATTTCTCTGAAATTAATAAATTAAAAAGAAATATAAAAAAGTTGAACAATGTTGAAAGCAGTGTTGAATATATATATATATATATATATATATATATATATATATATATATATATATATATATATATATCGGGACGAGGCCTTCGTTGATGCATGTTTCATTAAATTTGTATGCCCACTCTGCGTTCAAAAGTTTTTTGATAAGAACTTCAACACCACGTCATTACGAATGACGGCAGTCTACAAGATATACCATATGCCTGATTGACATAAGGTGAGCCGAATCTAGGCAAGTAGATAGATATGTCGTTGTGTTGTGCCATCACCAATGCGGGCCACATTCATACGCAGTGGGGAGATATTATAATATTGAGAGAACAGCTAACAAAACATTATTAATAGTGTTATTACTACAGAAAAGTTCTTTTCGGCATCAACTGCCATCATCAGTGTAGTTATATAGTTCCGTCTTTGTGTCTTTGTTTTCACAGCGACTTTTATTTTAACTTAATTAAAATAATTAAAATTAAAGTTAATCATGTGTTTCTTTGTTGGAAGAATATTGGTATTATTATTATTATTATTATAAGCTCGGGTAAAGCCCCTTGCCAAACAAAATACAGAAAAAAAAACGAAAACATTACCAAAAACTAAACAGGAAAAATTTTGCGTACGTAAAATGCAAAAGATAAATGAAACACTAATATAAATTACAAACATTAGATTGTTCATCAGCAGATCACCACAGGCATACGTACATTGTCTTTATTGCTCACACATACTGACATAAATATCAAAAATAAAATTCATAACGAGGCAATAGCAGTTTAAGTCTAAATAATAAAACTAAGAACATTATTTTATAACGACTTAGAGGACACAAACAATACATTGATAGCGACAAATTGAAATATTTAAACATTTAAATGTTAGCCCTTCAGTCCAACATAACATCACTAAAGAAACCGTCCACTGCTGATTTGAAACCGTTCAGGGATACTTCATTAACCACGGCTGCTGGCAATCTGTTCCAATCACCAATTCTGTTCGTGAAAAAGTATTTACGGCAGTCCTTATGGCAAACTCCTGAGAATTTAAGGTTATAACCCCTTGTCCGGTCATCATGAGCGAATATCAAAGCTGGACTAACTTCTTGTGATATTTCACCTTGCATTATTCTAAACAACAAGATCAGATCAGCTCTTCTGCGTCTGTATGCAAGGGATGACAAATCAAGTTTCTTCAATCTTTCTTCGTATGTAAGTAAGACTCCTACAAGAGGCCACTATACGTGTTGCTCTTCTTTGTACCTTCTCCAATTCATCAATCAGTCCAACTCTATAAGAAGACCATACTTGGACGCCATATTTAATGTTTGATCTAACTAAAGATTTGTATAATGTCACGAAGGCCTCCTCTGACAAGTCTTTAAAATTTCTGGCAACTAAACCTAACATAGAATTTGCTATGTGTACAACTTTCATCACGTGGTTTCTGAAATTCAACTTGTCGTCAATTAATATTCCAAGATCTGACACCTCACAAACCTCTGGCAGACCAAATGGTTTTTCATCAGCATCCATAATTTTATACGGGAAACATGTCTTTTTGGAGCCAATTCTCAACAGCTGACATTTATTGGTATTTATTTTTAACCACCACAATTTAAACCAATCTACGATTTTATCAATATCTTGCTCTAAAATCAATATATTACTCCAAAAATTTTTGAATCGTCAGCAAAAAGTAAAATGTTATTACACACTTCCGATATGTCATTAATGTAAATAAGAAACAATAACGGACTCAAGACACCACCCTGAAGGACTCCACTAAGAACAGGTTTTGGCTCTGACAATATACCGTCCAATCTGACCTAAAATGTCCTATTGCTGAGATATTTACTGATCCATCCCAATATCTTGTCATTTAGCCCATACTGACTTAATTTGAACAACAAACGACTGTGCGAGACCTTGTCGAATGCCTTTTCCATATCCATGTAGACCACATCCACTTCATAATCATTGTCCACTCCCTCTGTTACCGCTTCTAAAAATTTCAAAAATTGCAAAACAGCAGAACGGCCAGGTATGAAGCCAAACTGACTACTTGAAAAAAGATTGTTATCGATGAAGTGTTTCATAATATGGTCTTTTAACAATGCCTCCATGATCTTACAACAGATTGACGTAAGTGATACAGGTCGATAATTCTGAATGAGATCTTTGCGGCCTTTTTTATGCAGAGGTAACACATGACTCAATCTCCAATCATCAAATATGACACCTTCATCCAACAATCGTTGAAACATTTCACACAGATTGATACTAATTAGATCTCTCATTTCCCACAAAACTCTTGGATGTAATTCATCCGGTCCTGATGATTTGTATGTTTTCAGACGCAACAATCTTTCAGATATCATCGGTACAGTTATATTCAAATTATCCATCCTTTTAATTGAACTGTTATGGCTGAAGTAATTTTTATTATCAAAATAATCATCTGTTTCATATACTGAAGAGAAGAAATGAGCAAATGCCTATACTTTTTCTTTTACATTAGTAACAATTCTGCCATCTACTGACAATGGACCAACTATTTCATCATGTCTGATGCATTTCTTCACATGGTTCCAGAATAATTTAGGATTATTTTTATATTCTCTAGCGATTGCTTCCTGTGACTGCCGTTTTAAATCTCTGGTACATTTCCTCACTTCGTTTCTAATTTTATGAAACTTTACTAAATTATTCCCATACCTATACACAGATCTCCAAATTAAACGTTTTTGTTTGATTAGCTCCTTAAGTTCATCATTTATTTTGAATTTGTATTTTGTGTTTTTTTTCCTTATTGGAACAAATTTAGAGGTACATTCTATTAGTTTGTCTTTAAAAATCTTCCAATTATCCTCTAAGTTTGAAGCAGGTATAACTTTCAGTGTAGATGACAAAACATTTTTAAATCCTTTGTAATCACCCAAGTCAAAACACAACTTTTTCTTGCCTATCTTTTCTGAATGCCCAAAACCAAAAAGTTTGAATTCAATTATTGAATGATCACTATTACCCAGTAGAGGATGATAAAGTATATTTTTAACAAATTTCTGAGACGAAATTATTAAATCCAAGATGTTTGCTACCTGGCCATCCCTGAACCTTGTTGGATAAGTGATATGCTGCAACAAAAACCTATCCTTCAGAATATTCAGAAATTTATTTTCTACTCTATCATTGCTTCTTTTACAGCTAAATGTTTCCCAATCAATCTCAGGAAAGTTAAAATCCCCCAAAATCAGAAGATCACCAGTTTGTGCCAACCCCTCTTGTATCAGAGTTAATAAGAAATTATTATTATCATCAGATGATGATGGATGATGATGTTCAACAATCTCTCTGAAATACAGAGTTAAACAGATAAAAAAATATTATTGGACAAAGAGTCAACATTTGACATGATAATACTTAAATTGTTTGTATGATCACCGCTTAAATTTTTGGCATCTATAAATTTTGTTTCTTAAATGCCAACACATGAAAATCACCAGGCTTTCCTTTTAACCTAAATGTCCATCCAACATTGTCTTCTCTGAGGCCAATCTCCTTTTTCTTATCCTCCAGCATCTTCTTGTTAATTTCTCTGTCCTTTTTAGACAGATCATGATTGATTATTACTTTATAATAAACTTTATAATTTTTTAACTTATAACAATTAGCAAGAATTAAGTTCTTAGAGGTCTGACCCACAAGTTGAACCAATGTGGGTCTGGATTTACTTTCATCTGATTTCCTACCCAACCTGGAAACTTCAATTACATCTGGCTCCATATCAGTACCAGCAATTTCTTTTAACAAATTATCAACATTAACTTTTAGAATGCCCTCACTCTCTGAAAGATTGTATAAAATTAAATTGTTTTTCCTCATTTCTCTGTCCTTCATAACTTATAATTTGGATGAGGTATCCAGAATAGATTGTTGAGCAGACTGCACATCTGACTTCAGACTGTCAACATTACCCCTAACTACATCTGAAAACAATTTCATTGCCTGGTTGCTTAGCTCTATAGAATTATTAGTAACTCTCTTGTTTTCCTCTAGTTGATCTAATGACACCTGCGAAAAACTTTCAACTTTCAATTTGTATGAAATCAACTCATTTTTTGGCAGCTAATGGCCTCTTCAAGAGAAGCCATTCTAGACATGATATTTTGTGTTGAGCATTTTAGTTCGTTATTCAACAGCTCCAATGAGGGACCAAAATCTGCCGGACAGGTCTTTTCTTTAACCAATAACAATTGCAATCTGTCTTTATTACAACGTAGATATTCCTCATTAGCATTAACGTAGACACAAAGTTTTAATTAATTTAAATTAAATTAAAAACCGAGGTCATTATCCAATTTTCTATCTTCTAACTAAATTCTAAAGAAGAATCTTCGCTTTCTTTTTTCCCTTAGCCGCCATTAAGAAACAAACTTATTTTTATTAAATTATTTTAACGAAATACAATTTTTATATGTAATTTAGAGAAAAAAAAAAGATTTTCGGGATTGATTTTTCAAGCGATATTAACGACACCAAAGATCTAATCAAAATTATTAATATATCAAAATATATTTAGTTGAATATTTATTGCTGGTTTACGTTTATCGATGAAAATTGATTCTGCTATCTTCAATTTGAAGTATTATTATAATTGAAGAATATATTTTATATATATATATATATATATATATATTATTGGTAAACCATTACCCGCGTTAGGCCAGACGTACGTTTCGTCTCTCGCGAGACTCGTCAGTAGCCTGCCGAATAAGGTTTAAGATCGTCTCTCGCGAGACTCGTCAGTAGCCTGCCGAATAAGGTTTAAGATAACACAACCCAATTATTGTAACCGAGAAACTCAAATTGAGGTGTTCGCGACCAATAGGTAAGAGCAACATCGCGTTGTTATAAGGTTTAAGAACCCATTCGGTTTCAATATATATATATATATATATATATATATATATATATATATATATATATATATATATTGAATATATTGAAACAATATATTCAATATATATATATTATTATTATTATCGATGACGTTAAAATTATTGGCAACAATGTTGACGTTGTTAATTAATCTATGCGTAGGGAGAGTTGTTTTAATTTGTTGTTGGTTGTTCAATGTAGGTTTTTGCATTTCTATTAGAATGGCTTCAGCGAGTTTAAGATTTTGATATTGTTGGATAACGATAACGATAATGATAATAACAATAATAATAATAATGATAATAATAAAAATAATAATATTAATAATAGAAACGATATTCTAATTAATTTCGCGCTTCAAATTTGTGACATTGTTGGTTGCTATCTTGACAACGACGGCCACGTAGCATGAACAATCGTATAATTTCAAATATTTTGTTTACTAATTTCAATGAACCTTTGCGTTTTTATTTCGTTACTTTTATTTTATTTTAATATATTAAAAAATACAACTAATTAACTATTAATAGAATTTACTTAAAATATATTGCACTGATGATGACTTTACGTCGAAATAGATCTATATGCATAATTTTAATAATAATAATATAAAAAATAAACGATTATAAAAATGGGATCTTGCTTGATTAATTTTAACAATTAAAATCATAAACGATTATAAAATGGATTTCAACATTTTGAATAGACTTAATTGTAAAGAACTAGTTCAAAATATTAGAAAATCAACCATAAAACTTGTTAATGCTGAATCGTCGGTGGATTTTTTGAACAACTGTATATATATATATATATATATATATATATATAATTTCAACAACACGAAGCTGTTTTGAAATTTTATTGCAAAATGGGGTGTAATCTTCAACCGTACATGTTTATCTGAGAACCTCATACCAAATTATATATATATATATATATATATATATATATATATATTGAATTACGACGGTCAGAAATGCAATTATTGATGTAAATCATAGCATGTTTGGCGTTAGTTAACTTCCAATTTATAAACTCGGAAAAACTTGAAAAAAAAAACTTGAAAATGATTTACGATACACCGTTAGAAAAATCGAAAAGTTTAATGGAACGCCGAACATGCAGTAATTTTCATCTATATTCTCTATATATATATATAATATATATATAAGGTTATATATATATATTGTATATATACATATATATATATATATATGGATTATTCATTGGTCTTGGTGAGTCGTTCAATTATCATTAGTGACTTTTTGTGTTTTTTTGACAAATAATATTAATAATTTAGGTAATGAAGTGTTTATTTCAAATGTAGTTGATTTTTTTTCGGCTTGAGAAAGTTGCTTTTGCAGTTGAAATTCTGAAAAATGAACTCGAATTCTTGAAATCTGAGAATTTAATGGGCGATATTTCGAACAAGCTTCTTTTTCGTTATGTCAACAAAATATAGAGTAATGGTTTGTATATATTTTTTGAAATTTTTTAAAGTAAATGAACTATTGGATAAACCTTCTATTTTTGTAAGTTCGAATTTGTCTAGAATTCCTAACATTATAAATTGGATTAATTGTAATGTTTAACTAATAAGAGACTATATTAAGTCAATGTTTGAAAACCAGCTTATGACTTTAATGGAAACTTTAAATGTTAACAACAAATCTATTTTGGATAGTGTACGCTCCATTGTTTCAAACTGTGCAATGTTCAATAATTCAACGTGTTGCAATACCATGAATTATGCTAAGGCTCATTTGACTAATTTAGCTGCAACTAGTCAACCTATTAATATGCCTTTAAAGGCATAATAATAGGTTAATAATCCTAATAATATTAAAGTTAGTACTAATATGCCTTTAAATGCTAACAATAATAAAATTAATAATACTGTAAACGAGTCAAAAATTACTACAAATGCAACTCCTACAACTCAACGTTAGGGTGACCGTTACGATTCGCCTGCTGTGGATTCTTAATGTGAGTCACATGATGAATCTGGCAATGGCTTTAAACTGGTTATAAACAAAAGGCAAAGAAAGTCTCTAGCTCACCTAAGACCAAACCAATCGCCCAATACCAATAAAAATTTCAAAACTTCGCCAAAAAAAACTTTCGGTACAGGACTTGATTGTCCATTCAAAGCCTCAAAAGCTATTGTTAAAAAACTACATATTACCTAGGCAACGTGGGCCCTTGCAATAAAAATGTAATTGAAGATCATTTGAAGTCAAAAACATCGCTATCATCAGTTGTTTTCCAATTTTGCGAAAGAAAAATCCCGACGATCCTCCAATCGATGAAAACACAGAATCAACTGTATTCAAAATAGTTTTGCCAGTAGATGATTTACCTAAGTTGTTTAATCCAAACAGTTTGCTAGTGTTGATTCTGATGTTAATATTTTTTCTGATATTTCCTTTGAGGTAGGACGTTGTTGTTTTCTTTGCCATCAACTTTTTGCGCCAAATTAGACGATCAGTTGTACCAGTTGTATCCATTTCATTTAAATTTAGAGCTTTTTTCTTTGTGATGGCATAAGAGTAATTTGGGGAAAAGTTGTTACATCCGGACACCCATCCGGACGACAACCACCAGTTATAAGCGGTGGGCCTAGCCTTTTGCTCAAAAGCACGCAAGGCTGCATGGATGCAGTTTTATGTCATGCCCAGGACCGGATGCTACCTCTGTTTTGATAAATTTATCTGGTTTTAAATTTGTATGTCTAAATCGAATTGGTGATAATATTGGTGGTGGTGTTGGCTTTCAATTTTACTTCATTTGAATATTTAATTGTCGAGATTTTCATAAGTGTAAACATTAATTATTTGATTATCGTTTTATACCGTCCGCCTTGTGTTGACATTTCTTTGTTTTTTAATGATTTAGCCCCTCTATTTCTCAAACTTAACTCTGGTTCGTTCACTAATGTTTATATTATTAGGGACATTAACATTAACTTACTCAGTTTATTAATCTTTTACATTCGTTTGGTTATTATTCCTTAATATCAACGGCCACTTGTGTTACCGCCACTAGTAAGTCTTTAATTGATAACATATTTACAAATAATATTTCTAATCATAAGTCTGGTATTATTTTGTCATTTTTTTCAGATCAGGTTCCAATTTTAACTTCATGGTCCAACTATACCTGAACGTTCTACTACTTCTTTCAATTTTCCTGCTTATAATATTTCTAAACTAAATACGTATCTTTTGAACTATAATTGAACCTGTATCTTGAACTGTTTTAATACTGACTTAGCTTTTAATTCATTTTTAGATATTGTTAATAATGCAATCATTATAAATTGTAAAGCTTCCTGTAAAAAATCATTTAAGAGAAAACCCTGGATTACCAAGGGTTTGATTATTTCACGAGCAACTAGACGAGCAGCAGAGTTAAAAGTTTTATTAAAAGATAGAGTATAGAATCAGGAAGACCATAGTAGAGCTGGTTACAATAATCTATCCTAGATAAGACTAACGATGTAATAAGAAGGAAAAGAGTAGGATCATCAAGAAAAGGACAATGTTTTTTATTCTAAGTAGATTAAAGTATTATAAGAACTTCTAGCAACACTATTAATCTGAGAAGAAAGAGACATACTAGAATCAAAGATAAAGCGTAGACTACGAAATTTGTGAGAAACATCAAAAGTTTTAAATCAGGTAAGATAATACTCAAATAATATTCAAACAAATTAATTCATATTTAGAAGGATTTAGTTTAAGATAAATAGAGGCAAACCAAGCGATAATTGAAGAAAGACATAGAGATAGATTATGAAGAACCATATTGAGATTAGATGGAGGAATAGAAGTATAAATATAAGAATCATCAGCATATAGTTGACTATTGAAAAAAAAAGTTATTAATAATACAAGGTAGTTCAGAGGTATAGATTATAAATAAAGAGGGTAGAACCCTGCGGT